TATTCACTACAGGTCAGAGTATGTTCTTAGATCATTGGTATCGAGTAGAAAAAAGGCTAGCAGAAGGAGAGAACACTGAAAAACGTCAGTATTGATGTCTTCGGATGACTGGCATTTTAAAACGACCGTGTTAGGAAGGACTTGAGAAAGATCTTCCAGAGTTTCCATAGCTGGAGAGTATATGTTGCAGCTCCCGATGCCACACATTGCCAAAGACCTCTGATGTATCTCGTGATGTATTAATGTTTCGTTGATTATGCCAATAATCTAGCAGAACGAAATCCATACTGAGGTGTTCAACATCCTTCTTGCTGATTATAGATTCGAAGAGTTTGATGGCATTAAGGCGGTTAACATTTCGATATTGCGACTGGCACGAGCACTCAGCCACATTCTTAGAAACAAGGGCACAGAGTTGACACCTTCCATAGACTTGGGAAGCATCTCTCCTTCAGGTTGCGCTTTGGTAATATTAGAGATAACTCTGCGCTGATATTCTAAAGAACAACCACTGAGATTTTCTCCGGACTGGTGACGTTCTTTGAATCAAGGCTTTTGATAAGTCTGAAAACTTCCCGAGCATTTGTATAGATATATCAAAGTTTATGCTCCATGAGAAGGGCAAAGTCAGGTAAGGGATTATCCTTATCGTAGAGTTAGAGGCAAAGTCCATAGCAAATAGCATTTGTCAAATGAGAATGTAATAACTGCAGGGCCATTTATGCTCGTTGGCACAGACACTTTGCTCCTATTGAGACTTTTATTCGTGATTTATTAGAACGCATAGAACTCTTCCAGAACTCTTTTGTTTTCAGCCTTGGCTTGGACTGACTATTCTTTGTTTTTTTTTAGAACACTCTTGTATTGCTTTCGGGCAGTCTGGAATGTAGCATGCGTTTCACTGCATTGTTCATTGTGCTGGATGTGGTCGTAGTGCTTGCGATGGGCTACGGCTGCAGTAAAATACGGGATGGATCACGGTTGGATGTTTGGTTTCTGTTAGACTTGAAGGTTAGAATTGGTGGAACCAAGGAATGCAGTTCGTCCGAGCAATTTCTATGGAAGCAGTTAAAGAGCAATAAGGTTGGACAGTGGAGAATAATGTGTCACCAACAAGGACTTTTGCGATGCTTTCATAATGTCATAAAAATGTGTCACTTACACGGACTTTTGAGATGTTTTTATAGGGTCATTAATAATGTAAACTATAAGGACGCTTGAGATGCTTTTATAGGGCCATCAATAATGTGTCACCTACAAGGTCTCTTGAGTTGCTTTTAGAGTGTCATCAATAATGTGTCACCTACAAGAACTCTCGAGATGATTTATAGGGTCGTTAATAACGTGTTACTTACAATAATGCTGGAAATGCTTTTATGGTGTCATTAACAATGTGTCACCTACAAGGCCTCTTGAGATTCTTTTATAGGGTCATTAATCAAAATAGGCTTCCACATAAATATAAATTTTATTTTTTCCCTTTATAATAAACTTCACTCAATACAAGATTTTTTTTACAGTCAGGTTCATTCTGTACAAAGCCCGGTGGCCACTCAAGGTAGAGGGTTATAGTAAAAGATAGTTTATGTGGATAGGATGGGAAGATAATGATAAATGCTTGATTTGAACAGGCTAAGATTGTAGTGATTGAGAAAACATCCTCTTGGGAGTCGGTTCCTCAGAGCAGTGGTTTCCCAAAAGAAGCTGTTCGAGTAGAGATGGAATGTGGGTGGTTTGTTAGAATGTGCATTGCAAGGCGGGTCCTAACCAAGAAAGTTAGAACTGGTGGAACCAAGGAATGCAGTTCATCTGAGCACTTTCCATGGAAGTAGTAATAGAGTAGTGAGGGGCTTGCCACAACCGACCTATGAGAGAGAGGATGGAGGTTGGAGGGTGGAGAATATTTTGTCACCTACAAAGATACAGAGATGCTTTTGAACCAGGCTGGGCAGCTCCTGCCCAAATATCACAACAGTGCTCCATTTTAGGCCTGATCTTGCTCTAAAGTTTGTGCTCCATAAGAAAGGAGAAGTCAGATAAGGGAGAGTCCTTACCGTTTATTGTAGACTTAGAGGTAAAGTTCATTAAAAAGAGCCTTGCCTTGTTATATGAGGGCGCCATTTATAATAACTGGCACTGGTACTTTATTAAGAATTTTATTCAAGATTTTCCAAAACTCACAAGAACCATGTCTTTTTTTTTTCAACCTTGATTTGACTGACTATGCATAGCTGCTCTTTGCATTTTCTAGAAATCTTTTGAATGATTGCAGAAAATTCTGTATGTTGAAAAAGAATCCAAATACATTGGTACCGACTTGATGAAGAATATAATTTTCATTAGTTAAGTCGATGCCTCAAAGAATTCATGCCATCATAAACGCCTGAGAAAGAAAAACCTTTTTTTTTTGTTGATGCTTCCACAATTTCTTTCCTCAATATGATTGGCAAAAAAAAAATTCCCATTAGTTAATTGCATTCAATTTGTTTCACAAATTCAGAATATTCAGCAATGAAAAAAAAAATGTTTTGTATGTCTGTCTGTGATTTGTGTGGGTGCAGCCACTTTTTAGACAAACATATTCAAGTTTTTTCTCTTTGTCCACTGATTCTTTAAGAATGGTAAAAAACTCACAGGAACCATGTCTTTTGTTTTCAGTCTTGATTCAGCTAACTGTATAGTTTTACAAGAACTCTTTAGCAATGATTTCTTGCCATTTAGAATTCTACTACACTATTTTTATGATAAAAATGTTAGTAGTCGTTACGATGGGCTATGGCGTGAACCAAAGCTATTTGATTTCTGTTGGTATCTTTTTTTTTTGGGGTAATATTATCCATGCCTAAGAGGATCCGTTTTAGAATGAGGGTGGAAGTTCTGGTAGCGCAGTTTTGAAGAAATCTGAGAGTGGAGTTTCCGCAATGTAAGATTTGAAGCTGCCGCAATTAGCTTTGGGGTACCAATAGATCGTTCTGTCAGATGGTACATATGGGAATCGACAGGAATCGAAACCTTGTCTTATACAGAACCGTCATATAGCCTGATGTGCCTTAACCGATTGGGCCACAGGGGATCGTTCGGTTAGCAAGGTCGATTTTACTGCTTTTAAACTACAATATTCCATGATTCTCTCACGTACATTCATATCTGCTCGATGCGAATCCAAATGTAAACAAATGACGTCACACATTATGAAATGGACAAAGTCCGACAATTATTTTAAGATATTTTTATGTTTATACATTCTTTTTATAGATGCAAATATTATAATTGCTCTCTTTATAATAAACAGTATTAACAAAATTTACCGGCCTGAGTGTACGAGAAATTTTCATAGAAAATATTCCACCTCTAACAGGAATCGAACCTGTGTCCTATACGGAACGATCCTCTGTGGCCCAATTGATTAAGGAACGTCAGGCTATATGACGGTTCCGTGTGGGGCAAAGTTGAGCGGGAGACCAACGAAACTGCTCGTAACTGAAGGCAAGGATTGTGAAAGCATTCACCAGCTTTTAAAAAGAGACCGTCCAGAAGAGTTGCAGGAGATTCTGAAGTCGTCTGGTAGCCTTAGTTGAAGCCAATGGCGATTTTATTGAATAAATTTACTCTTTCGTATTTCAAGATGTTTTTTGTGTAATTTCGGTAAATATATCTGTTAAAATGTCAGTATTATTTTAATTTTTGCGCAAGTTAGACGACAATTTATCCATCGCACCCTGTACACACACACACACACACACACACACACACACACACACACACACACACACATATATATATATATATTTATTCAACATTATAACATATGCATGTTATAGCATCACTACAAAATTTTTTGTAGTGATGTCATAGCATGCATATATTATAATTTTGAATAAATATTATTTTCCCGACTCGGAATTTAGTTCTATTTTAAGAATAGTGTTCTTGGTTATCGGAATTTTATTCCATATATATATATATAATATATATATATATATATATATATATATATATATATATATATATATATATATATATAATGTACAGGGTGTCCCAAAAGTCGCATTACCATCGATAACATTGTAAATGTTATTTTTATTTATCAAATTGAATCATATTTCTGTGTGACAATATATTATTAAGAAAAGTTTTGGTCGAATTATGGAAGACGATGTCATGACAATTTTCCCTGGTTGCTATTTCACAAGTGTCCGTTTTCGGCCAATTGTTGCGTGACTTTTGGGACCCCCCCCCTGTACATTGAGATGTGAAATAATAGAGACGAATAGATTGAAAAAGAAATGTTGAAGAAATAGAAAGGCTATTAAAGAAATAGTTTGAATTTTCATGTCTGGTAGATGGCAAGCGAAAAAGCAGAGATATGGTGTAAAATAAAAACAACGTATTTTTTTTTTTTTTTAAGCATTTCACCCCAAGCAAGGCGGGGAGCCACTAGGACGCAAGGGGTTACAGAAAATAGGAAGATCAGATAGGAGTGATAGAAGAAAGGATAAGGGTAGTAGATAGATTAAGGCAACTGGAGATGTCGATTGACATTACACTTGAATAGCTGGAGATTATAACTCTCAGGGAAACAGGAGAAGGGAAGAGAGTTCCACAGGCGAGAGGTGCGAGGCATGAAGCTATTAGAGTAGAAGAGACGGCTACATTTAGGAGTTTCGACAGTGAAGGGGTGAGAGCGGGATGCCAGCCTCGTAGGGCGCTTGAACTCATGAAGTTTGTATAACTCATTTGCTTTGTTTAAAATCATGTGACCCCCCCCCACTTAACAAAACAAAGAAAAATGACTACAAAAAAGAAGAAAAAAAAATGGAAGAATTTAAAGAAGAGATATTACGAATGAAAAAAAAAAATCGCTGTCGTATATGAAATTTGTTCATTCTTTTTTTTTTTTGTTTGATTTTGTATTTTGTTGATTATTTTCATACGAATAATTTCTATTTTCCTTTTTTTGCGATTTGTTCCTGCCTCTATGTGTTGTTGCCCGTGGGGTTATGGTTCGCCGTTTCTCTCTGTTTTGGCCTGACTGTGTCCTTCTGTTCAGGAGAATACAGAATACCGATGCACGGATGAACCTTTTTTCCTTTGTGCGTAGATGGAAGTGTATGATGAAGATTAAAAAAAAAAAAATAAATAATTACGCTTGTTATTGACCAGCGCGCGTGCGAATAGATTTAACAAATATGAAAGAAACCGACAAAAGAAATTTTGATAAAAAGACAGGGACAGAGATAGATCTTGGCGTCGGCGATGAGGAAATGCAGTCTGCTTCCAAACATGAAAATAGAGATACTGTTTTTAAAGAGATAAAAGAAGGAGTATAACGATAAAGGCGAGGAATCGTCGATTCTTCAGTAGGCGGGAAACATCATTGCTTTCGTCTGCAAACGTCTGTTTGCTTTATCGTAAGCATTTTTTTTAAAAAAGGACAAATTGCTTTCTTTATTATTAAGCTCTCTTTTTTTATTGCATCCTTTCTTCATTCTTTTTTTTAAACTTTTTCTTTCTTTCTACATCTTTTCTTTCTTTCTTTGTTTCTTTCTACATCTTTTCTTTCTTTATCCTTCTTTCTTTCTTCATCTTTTTTCTTTTTTTTATGTCTTTCTAAATCTTTCCTTTCTTCCTGCATATTTAATCATTTCTTTCTTTTTCATCATTCCTTCTTTCTTTCTTCCTTTTCTTAGTCTTTCTTTCTTTTCTTTTCCTTCATTCTTTCTTTCTTTCTTTCTATTCTTTCTTTCTTTCTACATGTTTTTTCTTTCTTTCTTTCTTTCTTTCTTTCTTTCTTTCTTTCTTTCTTTCTTTCTATTCTTTCTTTCATTTTTATGTCTTTCTAAATCTTTTTTCTTTCCTGCATATTTCATCATTTCTTTCTTTTTCATCGTTCCTTCTTTATTTCTTCCTTTTCTTATTCTTTCTTTCTTTCCTTTCTTTCATTCTTTCTTTTATTCTTTCTTTCTTTCTACATCTTTTCTTTCTTTCTTTCTTTTTTCTTTTTATGTCTTTCTAAATCTTTTTTCTTCCTGCATATTTCATCATTTCTTTTTCAACGTTCCTTCTTTATTTCTTCCTTTCTTCCTTTTCTTATTCTTTCTTTCTTTCTTTCTTTCTTTCTTTCTTTCTTTCTTTCTTTCTTTCTTTCTATTCTTTCTTTCTTTCTTTTTTCTTTTTATGTCTTTCTAAATCTTTTTTCTTCCTGCATATTTCATCATTTCTTTTTCAACGTTCCTTCTTTATTTCTTCCTTTCTTCATTTTCTTATTCTTTCTTTCTTTCTTTCTTTCTTTCCTTTCTTTCTTTCATTCTTTCTTTTATTATTTCTTTCTTTCTCCATCTTTTCATTCTTTCTTTCTTTCTTTCTTTCTTTCTTTCTTTCTTTCTTTCTTTCTACATCTTTTCTTTCTTTCCTTCTTTCTTTCTTTCTTTCTTATTTTTTCTTTTTTTTTCCCTGCATATTTCATTTTCTTTTTCAACGTTTTCTTTATTTCTTCCTTTCTTCATTTTCTTTTCTTTTTTTTTTTTATTTCTTTTTTATTTCTTTTTCTTTTCTTTCTTTCTTTCTTTTCATTCTTTCTTTCTTTTTTTTTTTGTCTTTTCTAAATCTTTTTTCTTCCTTCTTTCATCATTTCTTCCTTTTTCATCGTTTCTTCTTTATTTCTTCCTTTCTTCATTTTCTTACCCTTTCTTTCTTTTTTTCTTTTTCATCTATCTTTCTTTCTTTCATTCTTTTTTTATTCATCTTTTTAATTTCTTCCTATATCTTTTCGTCCTTCTTGAAACTTTTCATTCTCCAGCATTTCTTTCAATTTTTCTTTATTTTTCATAGCTCCTTCTTTTTCTTCCTTTCTTCATCCTTTCCTTTCTTTCTTTCTTTCTAAATCTTTTCTTTCTTTCATATTTTCTTTATTTTTCATCAAGCATTCTTTCTTCCTTCCTTTCTTCATATCTCCTTTCTTTCTTTCTTTCTTTCTTTCTTTCTTTCTTTCTTTCTTTTGCTTCTTCATTTCCCGCCTCATTCTCTTCTATTCCTCTAGCTTTTGCTTTTCTTTTCGCTCTCCCGTTAATCCTTCTCACATCTTTTCTGTATAATTCCTGCATTTTTCACCCTCTCTAATATTTTTTCATCAAGTTATTCTTTTCTTCTTTCTTTTCTTTTCTCTTTGATTCTTTGTTTCCATCTTTCTTTCTTTCTTTCTTTCTTTTTTGTCACTCCATTTGCATAGACGATTTCTCTTTTTTCTCATTTATACTTTAAGTTTTCCTTCCCATTCTTTTTTCTACCCCACGTTTTTCTTTTATCTCCCCCATTTGGCACTTTTTTTCCTTTCTTTCTTTCTTTCTTTCTTTCTTTCTTTCTTTCTTTCTTTCTTTCTTTCTTTCTACTCTCTGTCTACTCCATTTGCATAGACGATTTCTCTTTCATTCTCATTTATACTTTAAGTTTTTCCCTTCCCATTCTTTTTCTACCCCACGTTTTTCTTTATCTCCCCCATTTGGCACTTTCTTTCTTCCTTCCTTTCTTTCTTTCTTTCTTTCTTTCTTTCTTTCTTTCTTCACCCCATTCATTTTTGGCCCTCCTCCATCTACTTCTCACTTCATCTTTTTCAATTTCTTCCGAGAACGTTCCTGGAAAATGTCACCAATTTCTTTTGACAGATGAAAATTCCGTTGCAACTAAAGATCGGGCAATTGGGCGGCATTTTTCGACTTTTTATTCCCCACCTTTTCCTCTCTTGGCCTTTTTATTACTCTCCAGCCTCGCTTCCCTCAGCCATTAATCTCATCTTTGGTTTCAAAATTATCGGTCTTGTGCAAACGACATGGAACCGTGTCATCTGCAGACTTTCGCCGACCGGCAAAAGACAAGAAGATTACTCACCTTCAGTTTGCCCGGGTTCCTCGATAGATGTCTCTGCAGCGACTAAATGGATTTATAAGCCCTCAATAAATACTATCTCTTCCTCGGGTTATTTTCACGGAAAACGAACCAGAGAAGAATGGCGTTGTCTTCATCGAGACGATATGAACTGAAAGCATTTTACATTGGATGGAGGGTGTGTAAGGGAGGAGACAGGTAATTAAAATATTTATACTTTTGCTTTTGGAAGTAAAAATCTGAAATGAAATTTCACATCTCTACCTTTTTAATCGACAAGGCTTCTCTGTTTAGGTTCGATTGCAGAGTACCAGCACGCAAGACATGGGCTTCAATATTTCTATGAGATATAGTAATGCTTCAATTTAATATACAATCACAAACACAACATATATATATATATATATATATATATATATATATATATATATATATATACAAGTATACAATTGGTATATACGGAATGAATTCCAATAACCAACAATTACTATTCTTAAAAGAGTGCCCAATACAAAGTAGAGCAGATATAATTTTTTTTTAAAAAAAAAATTATAACATAAAATATGTTATAAAATCACTACAAAATAGCTATTTTTGTAGTGATTTTATAACATACTTATGTTATAATTTTTTTTTTATAAAAATAATTATATATATATATATATATATATATATATATATATATATGATTTTCTTTCGTCTTTCAATGATAATGTTATTAAGCTTAGACGATATGAAAGGAATTTGATTAACATAAATGGACAAAACGTTTATATATTTAATGAAATATGCATTAATATATATATATATATATATATATATATATATATATATATATAATTTGTTAAAAAGTTAATTAAATAAGGAACCAAAAGGAAAATCATTATAAATTTGAATAAATTCATTTAAATAAATAGGTAAACATGTTCAATTTAGAAAGATTTTCCAACGTTTACCTAATTTTTTTCTAAATTCTGTATTCGTTTCATTGAATAATTTAGATAAATTTTGTCTACTTATTTTCAGTTGGATCCTTTCATATTCACGTACAAGCTTTGTTGGTGTCATTATCAAAGGAAGAGAGAAAATTACCGTGTTTATACAAGTTATTTTTTGCAAGTACTTTCGACATTAGCACAATGTCACTATCAGAGTGTTACATATATATATATATATATATATATATATATATATATATATATATATATATATATTATTGTTGAAGCTTGGATAAGCATGGAATAATAATAATACAACACAAAATGTACTTAAACAAAATGTATTGAAACAAGGAAAAGGTACACAATATTTACAGTTAGTTTTGGTATATTCTTGGGAAGACTGTTCCTGTAGAATGGTTTGACTTAATCGCAGTCGGGCAGAGTCTCTGGATTGCATCTCTTCTTCCTCCCCTCGTCTTCCTGGCACCAACCCATATTTATATGGTCGGTACTCCACTATGTAAATTAGGTGGATCGTACCACAACATATATATATATATATATATATATATATATATATATATATATATATATATATTTTTTCATATAGACAAAACCAATTTATTCGCACAAAGATGCTACTTTTTGTCTATATGAAAAAATTATAATAAATAATTATTGCTCTACTATCGGTATTGAGCCCTGTTTTGAATTAATGCTGTGAACGTCAGAATTTATATATTATTTTCGTTCTCTTTACATTCATATATATATATATATATATATATATATATATATATAAAGGTAAAAGACAATAGGAAAAGTGTAATATTAACTGACGCGTTTCGTCCAATGTGGACTTTTTCAAGGCAAAAACGAAATGAATTTATTGAAAAACAAAGTAACTATTGACAACAAAACAAAATGTCCTTAGCAACTGGAAGCATTTAGAAAACGCTATTGTATTCATATTATCAACTGAAAATTTCGTGAAGTACTGTCAAGTGTGGAAATATTGTTTTTATTGTTGTGTTGACGGATTCAACCATTTTCTTTTGATTTCTTGATATATTGTGTAAGTTTGCTTGGGAGAGTAGTAATTGTATTAGGAAAATCAAATAGGGAAAAAAACCTGGATGTAGATTAATATTTGGATAATATTCAATGGCGGCACTCTCGAGGATTTTCCTTCTGAGTGAGTTATTTTATTTTCTATGAGTGTAGCATTTTTAAAATTAAAATTGTGGTTGAATTTATTTCTATCTATGACTAGTGAATCGGTAAAATTGTTTTTTGTGAGGTCTCTTTTGTGCTTATAGATGTTTTTGTTTTTTTTAATTTCTGCTTGTTTCACCAATATATTAGGAGGAACAGTTTTGGAAATTTATTTTATAAATGCCTGCTTCAGAAATATTATTGCTATTAGAGTTTGAGGATCTGAGTATATACATAATGGTATTGGAAATGTCTGTGACTATTTTAAGATTGTTTAGATGGGATAGGTTGTTCTATATATATATATATATATATATATATATATATATATATATATATATATATATATATGTGTGTGTCAATCGTTATCTACTGTCCTCCTAATTGCTCTCTCTCTTTCTGCTCATCATTAATGTTTCTGATCCTAGTACTTCCGCATTGTGTAACCAGTTGAGCCTTAGTGACTTTACTGTCCACTCGCTTGGGGTGATTCCGATCAAAATAAATAAATAAATATATATCTATTGTTTGCGCAAAAGTCTTTAGCTCTTTTTCGAAAAATAATTGATTTTTCCCGGGAAAACTTTTATACACTAGCATATTTTATGCAACAACAACAACAACAAATAAAAGTAATAATAATAATTATCGAACTTAACAGGATGGAATATGGCTATAAGATATTTCAAAAGAAAATAAGCCATCTGTTTTAAAAGGGTGACTTAAATTTGTATGCTAGGAATGACAGTGACCTGGAAGGTCTCCTGAAAACAGTAAAATGTTTCAGTGATGACATTAGAATGGAATTCGTTTTGGATAAAGGTGCTAAAGTCACAATTTTAGGATCACTACAATAAACTTCTTATACCCTGGTGTAACTATCAAAGATTTATGGGTTCAAGCGAATGAAAGCTGTGCGTGCCTTGAAGATGACTATCCTTTATCAGAAACGTCCTGTTGCTACGGGCGCTTTCCTTGGGGCGTTTCTCTTTTATTAACGCTAAGAGGGTGGAAAGTACGAAATTGGAATCTGATTAAGTATTTAAAGACATGAACATTTCGTTGGAAACAAAGTAAACAGTTCCGAACTGTTACGCAATATTGGTCCTTCTCTATGGCATTGAATGCGGGACAATCTCCTCAAAAACTTGAAATGTGCTTCGACAGAATCATGCGAGCAAGGATGAAGTTTAAAAAATAGAAACAAAAACGACATTTATATTAGAATAAAAAAAGTGACATATGAAATTTCTAAAAGCAAAAATGGGGAAAGAAGGCTTGGAAAATGTAACACTCAGAAGGCATGCTGAAGACAAGAGTGATGGAAGAAAGTAAAGAATGGCCTATCGAATGAGTTTGTGTAAGCTCTTGGCAGAACTGGGATTAGGACAGATAACGAAAAGACTGCTAAGAACTACAAAGTACAGGAAGATGTGGAGAACCATGATCAACATTCACAGAGCCCACCTGTGGTTTATACTGCAATTATGCTGAGTAGGCCTTAGTTACAGTTTCTGGGAGAGCGTGATCAACAATCTGAAGAAGGCCAGTACAATCAAACCCTCGAGATCTTCGGACGACGCATTTCACACATGGACACATGGCACATGTTCTCCACTGCCCTAACCGGGTATTGAACTTACACTCTTTGGGTCCTGTTACTGGATCTAGCCAACGCCTTTATCCACTGTGTAAGGTTAAGGCGGTGGAGAACTTGTAGAGTGGTATTAACAGAAGATAACTGATAACTGACATCCATTAAAACATGGCACTTGGAACTAGAACAGTCTACTCCAGTAAGCGAAATAAAGGGTTCAGTTTGACATTCCAACCACCTGAAGAAGGTCGGAGCATGTAACGGCCAAAACGTTGTGATAAATATGGCAACAAAGATGAGGACAATAGTCTGGATAATGCAAATAGCGTACATAATACCTCATCTCAGAAATATAGACAGATACTGATGCATTTCACCTCTTTATCCATCATCCAAATCGACCGTAATCGAGATCATTGAGCCAATGCGAACGATCCTTTTCATTGGCTGTATAGTATGTGCTACGTCAAGTTTCAGAGTTACTTTCACCTAGACCGGCTGCCACCCAAGGCTATCAAACCCAGTCTGTCCTGATACGGAGGAAGAAGTGGATTCATACCTTTCCCATGGGTATTAGCACGTAAGTGAATGTAATGGATTCGACTGGGTTTTGAACTCGGCTCTTTGATTCCTCAGTCCAAGCCGCTATCCTTTTACTCCAGTTTGACTATTCGCAAAGTTGAGTGTTGTAGATGTCAAAAATCGCAAGTCCAAGTTTTCGTCTGGTTTGAGTCATCGTCATGGATGCACGTAAAGAGAAAAAAAAATCAAATTTACTTTACATTGTTTTAAAAGTGTCATTATTTATTTGTTTAAAAGCTAAATCTACCGCAGTAGAATGCAGTCATTTTAGTTACGTGTAACAGCAACGGATACAAATAATGTGTAATGACGGGAACGTTTTTCTATGCGTTCAAGAATCCGGGTTCTTTAACTTCAGTTACTTTTCTTAATGGACGGCTAGACTTGTGAAAAAAATAAAATAAAAAGTTTAGCACAAATGCTGTTAGGTTATGTCGTAGAAACTGATAAATAAATGAAATAAGCAAATAAACATGTGACTAAAAATGTCGAAAAATACGAAGATAGCGCTGAGTAAGAGGTAAAACAAACCAGGAAATAAGGATAACAAGTGGGGAGAAAAAGAAA